GAGAACTTCTCCTCTCAAGGTCCCCAGGGCAGTGGGCACGGCCCCAAGACTGCCAGAGCTCAAGGAGTGTTTGGACAATGCTCTCAGGGACAGGGTGGGATTGTTGGGGTGTCTCTGCAGAGCCAGGAGCTGGACTGGATGCTCCTTGTGTGTCCCTTCCAACTCAGGACGTTCTGTGATTCTATGAAGGTCACATCTTCTAAGACAGAGACTGAAACCCCCAGACTACCCAGGCCCTGTGGCTTGGTCCAGAGTATCAGGGAAAACTGCACCATGTCAATGCTGGGGGACCTCCAGGCCCCATCCCAAAGCACCCCTTGGAAATGCCCCTGCCTGCACAGCACTGTCTTCCTCGAGGGCAGCACCCAGAGCCCTTCTGCTGCACCTCCATCTCCGAGATCCTTCTCGGGACCTGCATCACAGAGCTGTTAGCACTGCAATAAATGAGAGCCCCCTGTGCCCTCACAGGCAGCTTAGAGCCCTGAAGGTCTGGGATTTCACCCCCGTTCCAGGAGCAGAGCACACTTTTCCACAGCTACATCTGTGCTGCGAGCGGGTTCCCCGGCTGTGACAGCCCTGGTGCAGACGGGGCTCAGCTTCCAGCTGGCTCCGTTCCCTCCACAAACAGATGCAGCTCCTATATCAGGGTCTGATTTATTCAGCAGGAGTCTCACACATTAAGTGTAGTTAAGTCTGAAAACAAATCTAATGACTTTAAAATAAATAGCCAACAGAGGACTTGAAACTAAAATTCCTCCTTCCTCTGACACCCGCCATATAAACAATAATAATTATATAAAACCGTGTCTAACACATGACTACACAAGGCTCTGGTGACCAAGAAAAGCACACGCTGCTTGTCAGACATAATTGCACATTTGGTTTTTCAATTATTTCTTGTCAAGATCCAGAGCCCACCATCTGAACGCTGACATTAATTATTGGGAAGTAGTTAGTTTTACAATGGCGTTATGGAGGCTCCCAACACTCACCCCGAGCCTGAGGCTCCCAATGCTGTTCCCACACTGCCCTGCCATCCCACCAACCCCTCCAGGACTGTCACACACACTCACACCACTGGAGGACACCCAGTCTGGGTGTCCAATGAACATGAGCAAGGGAACTGATCCCCAGCCATGTGCTCACCCATGGGACGGGGCCAGACCGTGTCCCTGCTGGGACCCAACACAGGAAAGACATGGAGCTGTTGGAACGAGTCCAGAGGAGGCCACTAAGTTGATTACAAGCCTGGAGCCCCTCTGCTCTGGAGACAGGCTGGGAGAGCTGGGGGTGTTCACCTGGAGAAGGATCCAGGGAGACCTCAGAGCTTCTTCCAGTGCCTAAAGGGGCTTCAGGAGAGCTGGAGAGAGACTTGGGACAAGGGATGGAGGGACAGGACAAGGGGGAATGGCTTCCCACTGCCAGAGGGCAGGGCTAGATGGGAAGAAATCCCTGTGAGGGTGGTGAGGCCCTGGCACAGGTTGTCCAGAGAAGCTGTGGCTGCTCCATCCCTGGAAGTGTCCAAGGCCAGTTTGGAGGGGGCTTGGAGCAACCTGTGCTAGTGGAAGGTGTCCCTGCCCATGGCAGGGGGGTGGAATGAGACAATCTTTAAGGTCTCTTCCCACCCAAACCATCCTGTGATTCCATGAATTTCAGAGCCCATGTCACCAACTGATCCGTCTTCCAGCTGAGTCCCCTCCAAGCCCCCCTGAGCACCCGATTCTTGGCATCACACTCCAGCAGATCAGTGCCCATCATGCAAGGAAAAATCCTGCCTTTTATTGGCTTTTAATTTGCTGCCTTTTAATATTGTTGACTGTCTCTTTTTTCCTTGCAAAAGGAAGAAAGAAGCCTCTGATCTACCTTTTCTGGAGTGTTCAAAAACACGCACAGCTTTGTCATGTTGTCTCTTATTTGTCATCTTCTCCAAGGCAAACAGCTCTTCCTGCTCCCTTAAAGGAAGGGCTTTTTTCTATGCTCCTAAGAATTCTCTTCACCTTTTAAAATTTCCCATTACTGAGCATTCAGTGAGGTGGAGGAACCACACAAAGTTAATCAGGGAGGAGAACAGTCACCATGAACTCTCAGCTGCACACAGTGACCCGTGTGCTTCCAAAGGCAAAACCAGGCCCAGCAGAGCTGGGGGTGGTGAGATCATAAACCCCTGTGCCTCCAGAGCCATCAACATTTACTTGAAACAGAATGAAATCAATTCAGTACAACAAAAAAATAAGAATAGGATCCACTTGGTACTATGGTCACCACTTAAGATCAAATATGGTATGGAGAAAAAAAAACAGTTGCAAAAAGATAGTCCTGGCAACTTTATTTTGATTATAGTATTATATTATATTTTTACTGATAATAATTGTTAAAAGTCCTGGCAACTTTATTTTGATTCTGTTCTATTCTATTCTATTCTCTTCTTATATTTTTACTGGTATTAATTGTTAGAAGTTTCCTCAGCAGTTAGCAATTAGAGAGGGTTTCAAGCAACAACAACTCTGAAAAACACCTCCATCCACTGACAACCTCACAAATTTAGTCAAAGCCACATTTCAACCTTCAACCACTGATAGAGCTTTCTTGAAATATTACATTTTGATTCTGTTCTATTATTTTTAAACAGAATTGGTCATTTTCCTTTCTTTGACCACCTTTTGTTCAGTCAGAGAGATGACAAAGTGGGTTTTGCTTCCACTTTTCTCCAAGCAAAAAGCGATGACCAGCCCCACAGTCTCTGTGCATGCACAGGAAGAGGGATAAGGGCAGGAATTTATCCCACACTGCTGGGAGCTCCATCCCTGCCCTTGGGAAGGGCATTGCTCACACCAGCAGGGGGCTTAGGTGCTCGGCCCCAAGGGCACCCCTGGGCAGGGAGGACACCCACAGGGACACCCTGAGGGATCGGCTGCCACAGGGGGGATGAACTCACCCCCTGCTCTGTGAGACCCTCCAGTGAGAGCTGCAAAACTGAGTTAGAGTGGGAACAAAGAATGGAGGGGAAGGCAGTGATGCCTGGCTCCTCAGCCTGTGCTTTCCTTCCAGCACTTTGTTCAGGCTAATTCCCAGCACCCTAAGAGCCAGCACTGCTGGACCACCCTGAGGGGTCCCCCCAGACTGGGAAAGGGAACTTTTCCTCTGCAACAGACACCCAGTGCTCCCCAGAGGTGTTCAATGCCAGGCAGTGCCACTGGAGCAGAACAGTGCCAGGAATGAGGGTGTTTCATCCTGACACACCACAGGCAGAGCCAGGGCAGTGGGCAGGGACCGGCCACTACGGTGGGAACACTCGAACCAGGCAGGGACTGAGCACGTTCAGCAGCAGGAGGCAGGGAGAGGATCCACACCCCAGAGTCTGGAGATCAGAACAGAGCAGGCTTTTAACGTGGAAGGACCTGTTTCACCTGAGGAATAAAATTTCTGCAGGGCTTTCAGGTCCCTGGAGTGGACAGAAGGGTCATCCAGCATGTGGTCACTGGAGAGATGGTGTCACTGGAGGTACAAAGGGAAGGACACAAGATGCACTTGAGCTGAAGGAGGTTGGCAGAGCTGAGAGGAGCACTGGAGCTCACTGGTGCTCACTGGCCCTCACTGGTGTTCAGTGGTCCCCATTGGTACTCGCTGGTGATCAGTGGTGCTCCTGCTGTGCTGCCAAGGGCAGTGGGCACCCAGGGAGAAGCCTCGTGTCCTCCCAGGGGCAGCTCCACAAACACTGGTGCCCTGCCCTGTGTAGGGGAGCGGTGCCAAGCCCAGCAGTGGTGACTGGCAAACCTGGTCTGGGTGGCCCAGGGTTGGTCCTGCTCCTCATAGCTCACACTGATGCACACACAGGGCTCCTGCCATCCCGTCCCTGTGTCCCCAAGGGCTGCCCGTGCCGCTGTGCCCCTCACAAGGGAAGGGCAGATGTTCTGCAGATGATGCCAGGACGGGGTGCAGCCCCCCACACCACACACAGCAGCCTGAGTGGCTCTGGTTTGCTGTTGTCCATTGTCCCCCTTCCACACTGATGTGACCCACAAACACATCCCGAGTGCTCAGCACTCCCCCCACAGCTGTGCCCACCCCACCACGGGATGGCACCTCTGATTGTCCCATCATCTTCTCCAGCTCTTACATTTCCATGCTTCCTTGCAGCCACTCTCCTTCCCAGGTGATACACTCTCCTCCCTGATGCTTCCTCAGCGTTGTTCCAGCATCTCTCATGTCCTACCTGTTTTTACCACAAAACCTTTTAAACTTGGGAGCTCAGTTTGCCACTTGGCTTGTGGATGGTAGATAACTCTGGATTGGCTTGGAGCACTCATGAGACCAGGTAAATCCTACTGCCATCAAAGCCACACTTTGCTCTCAGCTCCCACCACTGCCCCAGTGGAAACCCAACCAGAAGGAATTTGTGCCTGGCCAAAGAAGGAAAGGTGCCCCTTCTTCCACACTTTCACAGCTCAGGACTGACTCCATCGAGTAAGAGGTGGAGAGGGACAAAGCAGCACCATCTCCAGAGTATCCCAGCAAGGTAAGACATCCCACAGCATCAGTGGGAGATGGAAAAGCCACAGCACAGGGCAGACCCAGCTTAGCATGTCCCTCTCCAGGACTGGGAGTAGCAGAGATGCCCCTTAGCAGGATCAGAGGGGGCTGGGGTGGTAGGACAGCCCTCTCCTCTCCCCCTACATGGGAGCAGGAGGGTCCACACCCAACCACACATGGCCCAAGGTCTCCATCCAAGATCCTCATCGTGCCATGGCCTGTGTACTCAGCTGTGCCACTTCACACCATACACAAAACACCTCTCCTTGCAGCTCCCCAGGCCAGAATGATCCCTCCTACACTCATGTTTAGTGAAACCCAAAAATGGCTGTATGGATGCTGAGCTCTGACAGCTCCCACTCATCCCTGTCCTGCAGTCACCCTTCACCACCCCCAGCTCTGAGATGGACAACCACATCCAAGCAAAGCCACCCACCACATCCCACTCCAGCAGAGAAAACCATCCCTACCTGCTGGAGGAGCTCCTCTGCCCGCTGCTGTTGCTCTCGTCGGCCTAAGACATCAAAAAAAAAGGTTGTTTAAGTTGAGAAGGACAAGGCTGCTCTGCAGAAGCTTCCAGCTCCAGGCTGCACCCAAACACTGGAAGTTTTCCATGCTGAGTTACACAGACCTTGGCACTGGTGGGACCCATTGGGCCCTTACCCTGGAATGTGGGAGACTGGGGCAGGATTTCAGCCCCAGCCCCACCGTGGAGGCAGCCCCTGGGTCAGTTCCCTCCGATCGCTCTTGTGCAACCAAAGTCTAAGGGAACGATCCCTCCTGTTTAAAACATGCCATTGTCAGGTGGGAAATAAGGCAGAAACAGCCAAATTCCAGGCTGTGTCCAAGTCCTGGACTGCAGGGGCAGCCCGGCCACCTCCCTTCGTTAGGAACCCATGTCCTAATGATGCCCTAATGAGCCTCTCCAGGCCACAAGGGCTGAGCAGGGAGGGCCTGGGGTCTCCTCCTGCCTCCTTCCCCGGCTCACTGATGAGCCTTCCTTGGAAAGACAATATTATTCCAAACCCAGAAATTTTATTTCTGAATTTGTGCAAATACAAGTTAAAAGATATTAGCTGCATTTCACATTTTGTGCAAATGGCAGAAACAGGCAATTCATGTGCAGCAGGATGGGGGCCAGCCAACGATTTCGATAAAATAAACCCTTTTTTAATTTAAATGCTAATGCACTGAATTAAAATTTAATAACTGAGGAAATTGAAAAGCCGAGCAGGAATATTGGAAATAAATCCAAGCAGAAACAGCTGAAATTAAAAATTCTAGAGAGTGGGAGGATAGCAGCTAAGCTGTCTTATATGATTACATTTTTTTTATTTTTTTTTTTTTTTCAGAACGAAGGGGGGAAGGAAAAAAATCCTATCTTTGGCTGGCTGTAGGGCAGTAAATCGAGAGTGCTGTGATTTATTGCTCAATTTTCCTGAGGGAAAAAGGCTTTCTTTCATGCTGAAATATTTCATAAATTTCAAGCCAGCATAAATTCTTAATTTAAAAGTTATGGAGGTCACATTTAGTGCACTGGTGCAATTCTGAAATCTTAAAGGAATAGCAACCAAAAAATTGCAATTTGATTTTATTTTTTTTAATTCTTCATGTAAAATTTTCTTCAAAGAGATTCTCCGAGTTACACAAAGCAGAAACACATCCTGGCTTCTGAAAGGATATGAAATCCACTGGAAATGAAGAGATAAAAATCTAATTCAATTATAAAAAGGTATTTTTTATTATGATGATGATGATTATTATTATTTTGAGCCACTTGAGGAATTTCTGTTAAAAAATTTCCTCCCTCCATTGCCTGGGAAAAGCCAGAAGGGAGGAGCTGACAATGTAATTGCTTCTGTTAGATCTCCAATCTTTTGTGAGCACTGATATGTTCATTTGTTATACAGCTGTTCAGCTACAGAAAGGATGTCAGAGCACCCATAATTCAAAGCAATCAATCAAAAATTAATGATTTGTCATGCTTACACAATGGAAAAAAAAAAAAAAGCTTTATGGGTTCCTGCAACTGGTAGATTGCTCAAACCTTCGGGGCATTTTCTAGAAGATTAGATCTGTGTGTACAAAAAAAGGGGAAAAAAAGGGGGGGAAAGGAGACTTTGTAGAGCCAGGGCAGAAACCTTGTGGGGTGCTGGGGCCTTGGAATCCCCCAGAGATGGAGCACATTACAATTCCTGTCTGTGTGGAGTTTGTGCACAACCCAACCTTGCAGGTCCCCCAGAGCCACATCCCCGATCACAGGAACCTTGTCCAGGCTCCTGCCATTAAAATTCCATGGGAAAACAACCTGCCAAATCATAGAACCATGGAACATCTTGAGCTGGAATCCCATCCAGTCCAACTCCTGGCCCTGCACAGACACCCCAATAATTCCACCCTGTCCCTGAGAGCGTTGTCCAAACTCTCCTGGAGCTCTGGCAGCCTTGGTGCTGTGCCCACTGCCCTGGGGAGCCTGGGCAGTGCCCAACCATCCTCTGGGTCACCAGGTCCAGTGCTCATGGAAGGCACCAAATCCTGAGGACAAAGCCCAAGGCACAGCCTGGGCCCTGCCTGAACACCCCCACGGCACCTCGCCACTAAATATTCCCAAAAATGAAAATGTTCCTGTTTGGGAAGCAGAGAGCCAACCTCAACTTTGGAAAACTCTCTGAGATTGCAAAGTCATTCATCCTCCACATAAGCAAGCCTTTCTCCCCACACACATTGATGTTGGGTGCCCCCCTGCAGGGGTCACAGTCCCCTGCCCAGCCCAGCCGTTCCCGATGCCGTGTTCCATTCCTGGTCACACACCTATCTTGGCTGTGCCTCGGGTGGGATTTACCTCCCACCCCAACCCCACCGTGCATGGCATCCATTTCATGTTCCTTTTCAGGTCTGCATTTGGGGTTGAGAGAATGAATTGCTGGAAATAAGTGACGTGGGGACCCCAACCATCCCCCACCCACTGCACGGCCCCTTCTGGGGCCAGCACACGATTTTATTACTTACTTCTATTTTTGCTTTCCTTCCCCAGTCTGCCCTGCCTGACTTCTCTTCTCTGTCTTTTTTATTATTATTTACAATGCCATTTTTTTGCTTTTTGACCTCTTTCCATCAGCAATTCATAAACTCTGCTCTCTCAGGACACAGCACAGACCAGTGCAAAGGACACGACCTGCAGGAAGGGCACAGCAAGGGAGGTACAACAGTGGCCCCCCCAGTGCTGGGGAGTTTCCTCAGCAGCAAAGCTGAAGAAAACCTTTTTTATAAGAAAAAGAGAGGGAAAAAAGGCACTCAGTCTAGATGGTTTCCCACATCCAGGATGCTCTTGAAGATGATCCATTAGACCTGAACACTTAGCTAAGTCTGGACGAGATCGGATCTACCTGTCTTAAAGGTTTCTGGATGCTGAAATAAACCCATCCATAGAATCCCAGACTGGTTTGTGTTGGAAGGGACCTTGTAGATCATCCTGCCCCAGCCTCCACTAAATTTTGACCCTCTGCAGGATGTTATCCCAGCACAGTCTTCAAAAGATTAACCAGTCCAGCACCAAACCTGCACCTGTACATTGTAATGGTCTCCTGGTAAAACAGGCCATGGATCAGTCTCAAACCCAGGATCTCCCCTCCTCTGACCCTTTGCTGCAGCAGACAGAGCTTTTGTCAAGATTTGGTGTGGCCTATTTAAGGTGTGAAAACAAAACACAGGAAAAAGTGTCAGTGATCCAGTAGCAGATGGGGCAAGTTCTGCATGGAAATATGCTTTACTTGAGTTTTCTACTCTAGAACGTGATTATGTATTCAAGGTTTAAGTTCTCCATGGATGTGGAAAGACGTTCTCACCAAAAGTGCCACCAGGATACACCTTCACTCACTCTCCAGTTTCCAAACATGCAATTGTCTGCCGATTTTTTTATGAACAGCTCAGTTTAGTTCAGCACCTGTGCAGTGCCCAGTGCAGCAAACCCCAGCCCATCCTAAGGCTGCAGGATGATTTAATCCCAGATCTCCAGCACCTGTGGTGCTTGAGAGCACGTGTCCATCCAAAGCATGGGAAGATCATTTCCTCTGATTGTACATGGTATGTGCAGGTGGGAAAGCCCAATAAGGAAGGAAAGGGCCAGGGTATTCTCCTCAAACTTTGCAAAATAAACACAATCACAAGTTACCTAGGAAATATTTCAGCCAAGTGAGTATGGGCTGATCCATGTGAGCCATCTGCTGTCCCTCAGCTCTCTGTGCAAACAGGTAGCGATGCTCTGGACCCCACTGGGTGTCTCTGACCCTCAGCAGTCACAGAGCAAATCTCAGAAATAACCTTGAAACCAAAGACTCCAGCCTGGGGTCGGTGGTGGTGATGCTGATGCAGGGCTGGTGAAGGACCAGCCATCAGCCCTGGTGGAATTCCTCAGGGCAGCCCGGACAAGGGGCACCTCAGTGTTCAGCAGAACATCCCCAAGCCATGGTGGCACCACCCCACCCTCTAGGCAGGCACCCCACCTGAAAGGCCACCTCCTCACCCCCCAGCCTCCACTTGGGCTTTCCTTCAGCACAGGGAAAAACTGGGAGATGTGCACACATGTCTTTGAAAATCTGGCTGAAATAATCTTTGTCCATTTATTTTGCAGAAAGTCCACTGGGAATCCAATGTTGAGGGTTGCTGGTGCCTTTTGCAGGCCATGCTAATTATCACAGAATCCCAAACTGGTTTGGGTTGGAAGGGACCTTAATGCTCATCCTGTTCCACCCCCTGCCATGGGCAGGGACACCTTCCACTAGCCCAGGTTGCTCCAAACTGGCCTTGGACACTTCCAGGGATGGGGCAGCCACAGCTTCTTTGGGCAACCTGTGTCAGGGCCTCACCACCCTCACAGGGAACAATTTCTTCCCAATATCCCATCTAACCCTGCCCTCTGGCAGTGGAAAGCCATTCCCCCCTGTCCTGTCCCTCCATCCCTTGCCCCAGGTCCCTCTCCAGCTCTCTTGAAGCATAAGCAAGTCAAAGGGGTGAATGGCTGAAATCACCATTTAACCAGGATGTGCTGAAATGGGGCAGAGCAACTTCCAACAAAGTGACATCTTTGGGAAAGGGGAACAGAAATCTCCTGTGCTCCCATTTACCCAAGTAATTATTTAGGGAAATTCTTCATTCCTAGTTGGAAAAGCAGAGGAGCAGAGTTTGCATCTGCCAGCAAGGGAGGAGGTCAGACAGGGGGCACTGAAACACAGGTTGGAGAATCAGTCACATAATCTCCCCCATAAAATCATTTACAATTTAAAATATGATTCCTGAAGTTGCTTTTGTACATACTGGCTACATTTAAGGTAGTTTTGTTTAACTAATGCTAATAAATATCTTTTAAATTAAAATGCTCGAGAGAAGAATGTGGTTTCGGGCCATATGCTCCTGACTCGAGTCAAAAGCGAGAAGCAAATAATGTGATAAATAAGAAATGTATCAGTCAACATCTCCTAGTAGAATAAAGTGTCAAAAAATGGGGTCCAAGCAGATGTACAAGTGACCCGAGCAGTCCGTG